TGAACTCAGAACATACCTGGCAGCTACCCTAAGTTGACTCAACTGGAGTTGACACAAGCACTACAATATATTTAATATCTAACACTTAGAGGAATGGCTGGACTTTTTCTCAACCGAGACTCAAGTAAGTTTTGAGTTTTAGGTTATACATCCGTTAAAAGTACCTGGCATACAAATATTCTAGATTTCAGTTAGGGGGAAATGTATATCTTTAATATGCAACCAAAGGAGAATGCTAATCCTTCATGAAAATTGAGGCAGTAAGAGGACCACCTTATCCTACCACAGAGATATTCCAAGAAAGGACACTTGGGATGCACCAAGAGTTTTCTCAAAATAAATGGGGTCCATTTAACAGGAGAGGTAAAGAGAAATTTAAATGACAAAATTCTACACTAAAGCACAAAGAAAAACTTGTGACCTGAAGAATTTATAAAATAGCTACTCACCATAAAAATATCTTAGGCAACTGTTGGTAGAGTGTCTGACAAATGCAACATCCTCCCCCAAAATTGACTGTCTCTCTGCAAGGTTGCCCGAATCTTAAGGATTACCAAGGGAAAGGAGTCAAATATTAGGTAAAGAGATTAATGGTAGTGAGAAACTACAAAAGTGGGTGACTTTAGTTTTGGATCACAGTTAGTCCTTGAACAACATGGGGGTTAGGGACACTGATTCCCCGCATGGTGGAAAACTGTGTATAACTTTTAATTCCCCCCAAACTTAACTATGAGTAACCTACAATTGACCAGAAGCCCTACCAATGATATGAATAGTCGATTAAGAGTCGATTAAGATGCACTTTGTATGTTATATATTGTATTGTTACAATAAAGTAAGTTAGAAGAAAATGTTATTAATAAAATTACAAGGAAGAGAAAATACATTTACAGTAGTGTACTGTATTTATTGAAAAAAATCCACATAGAAGTGAACTCATATAGTTCAAACCCATGTTCTTCAAGGGTCAGCTGTGGCTCAAAGTCATTTTTTTTGTAGTAATTAAAGAATAGTGAAACTTGTTTCATGAGCCTGTTTCTAATAGTTAAAAATTAAGCCATGTGATCTCCAAATAAAGTAATGCTAATATTTTTCTCCTTTATACTGAAAGAAGGGAGTAACAGACCTGTGAGGGAGTGAGGGAGGCAAATGCATTTATCTTATCTAAAATGTATGCATCTTATAGGGATGTCTTATAACAGTAGAAATCTAATTTCTATGTCTACAGAAATTTCTTTTTCGGGGAAAAACAATTGTCCTCTAAACACACATACACAATACACAAAAATACACGGTTGTATTTTGGTTCCACTGGAGTGCACCCTATCCCTTTGGTGCTAAAGAAAAACACAAGCTGGGCACCTGGGTGGCTCAGTCATTAAGTGTCTGCCTTCGGCTCAGGTCATGATCCCAGGGTCCTGGGATCGAGCCCCAAGTCGGGCTCCCTGCTCGGTGGGAAGCCTTCTTCTCCCTCTCAAACTCCCCCTGCTTGTGTTCCTGCTCTTGCTATCTCTCTCTCTGTCAAATAAATAAATAAAATCTTTAAATGAAGGGGGGGAAATCAGAGGGAGAGACGAACAAACTGAGGGTTCTAGAGGGGAGGGGGGAGGGGGGATGGGTTAGCCTGGTGATGGGTATTAAGGAGGGCACGTACCGCATGGAGCACTGGGTGTTATACACAAACAATGAATCATGGAACACTACATCTAAAACTAGTGATGTAATGTATGGTGACTAACATAACAAAATAAAATTAAAAAAGAAAAAAAAGATTAGTAGAAAAAAAAATCTTAAAAAAAAAAAGAGTCCAGAGCATCAACCGAGCATGTCATTAGAGTTGCTCTTGCACAGTTCTGGATGTAGGTATTTATGTGTACATCTTACTTAATCCTGAGATTTCTGATCAGTTGTACTAGGTTAAGGGAGATACTGGGAGTCAGTCACAAAATAGCCTGATATGCAGTCAGTTCAGTGAAACTGAGAAATTTAATTCAAAATAGGAACTGACTTCTTATGAATTTTAGAGAGGACATGATGGTTAACCTCTCACCTGGGAAGTGTTCTTCTCAGGAGAATAATTTAACATTAATATGTAGTCTCAGTGAACTTTGGAAGAGAACTCTGGACAAAATTCCAATCTTATTACAGAATGGTTTTTTTGGAAAGGAGTAAGGGAGCACTTTTTAAAAAAATCTGTTTATCTGAGAGAGCGACAGAGAGAGTGAGAGAGAACATGAGCAGGGGGAGGGGCAGAGAGAGAAGCATACTCCCCGCTGAGCAGGGAGCCTGACATGGGCCTGATCCCAGGACCCTGGGATCATGACCTGAGCCAAAGGCAGACGCTTAACGACTGAGGCACCCAGGCGCCCCTATAAATAACTTTTAAATGAGACAATAAAATTCACAAGGAGACTAAGTAAATAAAGAATGTCAATAAATCCCAGAAGAACTGCATTAAGATGAGGACAGAAAACCCTGGGGTTTGTGGTTTAGATGGCAAAAACCATCAAGCTATTATATACAGTAGGAGAACCTTCTCTTTCCTCTCCGGACCATGTCCATCTCCCTTAAATATTTTCTACAGTGATGGTGAGCAAGACCATCTACACAAAAACATAGGATAGCCTAATGAATAATATAGAAGAATAAATGTGTAGATTATATATCTACAGAGGGAACATTATAAGGAAACCAACCTCTATAATAAAACAGTGCTGCATGTCATGGTTAAAGAAAAAAGATTCAGTAAAATTGAGGAAGAACTTAACATTACTTTTAAATAGCCTTTGTAAAGTTAGGTAACTTATGAAGACAGCATCCATATTCCCCTTCCTGCTGCACACCAGGAGGCAGTGTGTCAATCTCATGCATGACATGTAATCCTGTCTTTCCAACTGGTATCATGAGGAATCTTCTTCTCTCTCTGAGTGTCATGAGGTCTCCTATAACTACTTTAGTGACACAGTATCCCTCCTCCCTTGTTGACCACAGGGATGTCTTAGAGAGGGATCTTAGCTTGTACACCTATGGATGTGATGGCTTGTTAGTTTGGTGTGTTAAGGAAATAGACTGTGATGGTCTACAATCTTGGTATGGAGAGCTCTTCCCCTCTTCCTTCTGGCAATTCAGATATACTAAAAAGTCTTAAATTCCAAGTCTCTTGTTTTTTCATGCCTTCCCAAAACAGTATCTGGATTCAGCTAGATAGTAGGTCCAGAAAAAGGATATAAAACACAATCTTTTCTATTATTGTTGCAGGCATCATAAATGAGAGAAAGAGGCAGAAAGAAAACTTGGGCCCCCAGTTTGGGTCTCAGAGGTTTCTAATATTTAAGGACAGGCTAGGACACATATCCTCTCACTATGGAACATCTAGCCAGCTCTAACATTTGATAATAGGACCAAGATTGCAGAATTGGTTAATGTCGATGTTAATTTCAGGGACTTTGGGGGTGCCTTAAAAATGGTTCAAGATGAGAAGTGCAGCAACTGTGCTATTGCTGAGTGGTGGAGATGGAGGATGTGATTCTAAATATGGGGCCACAAAGGACAGAAAGGTAGGTGGCAGTGTGGGGAAAATGATCCTTCAAGTAGAATTTCAAATAACTCTGGTGAATGTCCTTGCCAGGCATTTCTTGGTTTATGTCTTTCTGTGTTATTATATATCCTAGCTGAAAATATTCTTTCCTTTGCTATAAACCAATTTGGCTTTCAATAGTCAGCATGTTTAATAGGGATCATGAAAAGGGGTAATTTGTGTCTGCCTAGTAATTCAACTGGTGTCCATACTGGGACTCTAGCCAATAAAAATGTATATTTCCTTTTCCTGACACTGACATTTCTGGCACAAGGACTACTGAACTTATATACGTGGTAAGTGCTAGATTTGTACCCAATTATTTTGAATCCAATTTATAAATTATACTCTGGACATCTTATAGCTTGGTCTCACCCAATTTGCTAACCATTCCCTGCCTGCCCCTCCCCCCCACCTTATAAAGATAATCTTCAGTCCATATTGCACCTATCCTGGTGCTTAATACTAAAATTTACAACTTATGTTTTTGGAGTGCTTAATATGTGCCAGACATTTTCCCAATTTGTTTATATTTTCTCATTCATTTGATTTGTGCAATACACCTATAATTTGGGAACTGTCATTTTCCCTCATTTTAAAGATGAGAATTCTGTGACACAGAGATCTTAAATAATTTCCCCCACTTTATAGAGCCAACAAAAGGCAGATCTGCGATTTTCATTCAGAGTCCAGCTCCACAGTATGTACTTTTAATCACTACACTACACTGCTCCACCCCCAGTGTTTATATAATATTATTGATGTGTTTTGTTTTATATTAATAGGTGATTACTAGAATGTAAGCTCCTCAAGGGATCTATGTTTCATTCAGTATGTGTCCAAATTCCTAGAATAGACCCTGGCACACAGTAGGAACTTTAGTATTCCATATTAAGTAAAGGTTGTGTAAATGTGATATATTAGTACAATTGAATATTTGTCATTTGATATATATTGATCTCTTTATATACTGATCTATAAATATACACACACACATATATAGAGAGATCTATAAACATATTCACAAATATATATATAGATTCATCTATTATCTATAGACCTATAGACAGACTGTTTGTGCCCACTATCCCCTCTCAATGTCTTCCAACTGATGGACCCTCTAGTTTAACTTCCACAATCAAACACAAAATTTGTTTATAGCAGGGTGATTATCAGGAAGGAAATTGACCCTTTTCAAGAAAGATAACACTGTTCTCACTCTCTTGGGGTTTCTGTGAGGAAAAATGTTACCACTAGTCAGTCTTTCTCTTAAGAACACCCTGAGGATCATATACACCTGATATCATATATTTATGTGCATAATATGTTAACATGATTATTAAACAGAGATCAAAGGGCTACTAGTGAAAGATTCACTTCACAACACCTAAGGAAGAGATAGGACACACTTTGGTCAGTAAATAAAGGGGGTCAGGAGTGATGTCACCAAGATGGTGGGATGTGAGGCTCTTGACTTTCTCTCCTCCCAGGGACACGCTCAGAGGGGGCATTTCCCTCTGAGAGAAATCCAGAAACTTGCAGAGCAACTTGTACACATTAGGTGAATGAGAAGAGAGTCACAATGAAATGGATAGGAAGGGCTAAGATATGCTTGCCATAAACCCCACCCCAGCACAGCACCTTACAATTGGTAGGGAACCCCCAACTCCCAGTTTCTTCCTGAGAAGCAAAGGGTTAGACCACATATATAGTACCCAGTTTTAAGGCTACCACCCAAGGGATGGGCCCCCAAATCACCTTTCTCTGAGAGCCAGTGTGGCTTGACATACATGAATCTCACAGGGCCACATCAAACAAAGAAGCAGTTTTAAAATGGGTGCATGAGCATTTTTTTTTTTTTGCAGCTATCCCTTCCAGGCTCAGCACAGAAGGAGCAGGCAAAAT